AATATATAAATATATAAATATATAAATATATAAATATATAAATATATAAAAATATAAATATATAAATATATAAATATATAAATATATATAAATATATATAAATATATATAAATATATATAAATATATATAAATATATATAAATATATATAAATATATATAAATATATAAATATATTTGTATATAAATATAATTTATTTGTAAATTATTATCGAAAAATTCTGGTAGCTTAGTGGTTGGAGTATCGGCCTCTAACGCTAAGATACTTGGGTTTGAATCCCGCTAATGACAATTCTCTTAATCTTCAATAATAATTGAAGCCTATAAAAATGTAATAGGGAAAAATAATTAATAATAAATAAGAAAAATATAAAGGGAAGGGGTGTATTCTATAAAATAAATAATCTATATAAGTAAAATATTTAATAAATAATAAAAATATTACCGACTGATTCTTGTCCATCGGTAATTTCATCAAACATTTAGTGATCGAATATATCCGTCTGTAATTACCGATGGACTATTAAATCCGTCGATAAATGGATATTACTGACGGATTTTTGTTATTACCGACGGATTTTGACCATCTGGTAATATCAAAATTTCTTGTAGTGTTATTGACCTTTTTAATAACTCTATTAAGTTTATCTTTGTTAATGTAAGTGAATCTAAATATTTGTAATTTAAACTTTTACATATGTATTCATAAAATATAAAAAATAAAAAACGAAATAAAAATTGAGATAAAAATATAAATGATCTTTAAATTAATATTTAAAAAATACTTAAATGTTCGTACAAAACTGTAATAATTATGCTCAATCTATATTTTAGACCTGACAACATATATTAATTAATGTATACTCATCATTCCTTTCTTCAGTGGTGAATGTGAGTGAGTCTAAAAAGTTAAAATAATATATTTTTAATATTTAATTATTTTTTAATATTATAAACTTTATGTAAATATTAAAATATTTTTATCATCCGGTAATATTGAAAATAAATTTTCAACCATCTATTTTTTTATCATGTAGTGTAACTCTCATTACCAATTTTACATCTATATATATTCAAACAAAAAAAATTAAGGCACCTCAAATCACCGAGATGAGAATTTTTCCTAATTAAACTTCATACCCGTTAAATTTTCTTCATTAAATTTATTGTTAAACTACTTATTAGAAAGACCTCTGTTTTCTGTAAGATCAAAATGGATTATCCGAATTTTGGTTATCAAATCTGTTATGTTTATAGAATATTGTTTCAAAAAATTTATGTTTAATAAAATATTTGAGGTGATTAAATTATATTCATTAATTAATAAATTAATTAATAACAAAAATTTAAATTAAATTTGAAAAATGATATTATTAATATTGAATAATTAATTTCAATACAACTTAAATTTATTAATATTAATAATTAATGTCACCATAAAACAATTTCAAAATAAAATATTAAATTTATGTGATTATTAATATTTTTAAAAAACTAATCGTTATCAATACAATTAGTATTAGTAATTAAATTTATTTCCATATTAAATATTCAATTAACATCTTAATAAAATAATCTAAGATATTATTAACAAATATAATACTATATTTAATTTATTAAATTAATAATAACAAATTATTTATTAATTTTGTATTATTTTAATTGAAAACTATTAATAACAAATATAATACGTATGTGTTAAAACTATTAATAATAAAAAAAAAATTTCTCATTAAAGGTTAAAGTTTAGAGGCTAACATTAAAAAATTAAATTATATATTTTAAACTTTTTTTCAAAATATAAATTATATATATATATATATATATATATATATATATATGATTTTTTTACAAAACATGTCTTCAGAGTAATAGAAATCATAATTTTTAATTGATTCACACCGTAAACTTTACTGAATAAATATTAATTAATCATTTAGGTTTTGAAAGTGTAAATAGGTGTTAATTAATTTTTTTACTTAATCTTGTGTAAAAATTGTGATGTTTTTCTTTAACTATTTTTATAAGATCGCTTTGTTATTAAACTAAATATTTTATTACTACTAAAAAATAAATTTCTCATTAAATGTTAAAGTTTAGAGACTAACATTAAAAAATTAAATTACATATTTTAAACTTTTTTTCAAAATATAAATTATATATATATATATACATTTTTTTTTAACTTTTTTCAAAATATAAATTTTATATATATATATATATATATATATATATATATATATATATATACATTTTTTTTAGAACACCCACCATCTCACTAGAAGCCAAAAATGTTTAATTACAGTAATTATTATAAAAACTAATAATTTGTATATATGTAATCTAAGTGTTCCAAATGAGATGTTTTTTAATATTCAAATACTAAATATTATAAATTTTAAAATTAAAAAGTTAAGAATCAAGCCCAACTTAGATAATTTTTCTTCTTATAATAATTTACACTACAAGAAAATCGCGTATTACCGAATCGGATATTTACCGACGGATTTGTATCCGTCGGAAAATAATTATTACCGACTGAAATTACCGATGGATATAAAATATTTGTGGAATTTGATCTTACTCGAAGGATATATCCGTCTGTAAAATAATAATTAGTTACCGACGGATATATCCGATCGATAAATCCGTCTGTAAATTATCAATTAGTAAATATTCAACTAATTAAAAAATTAAATATTTTTTATTTAATAATTTCATTTAATCATAATTAGATTAATTTATAATAATTTCTTAAATTAAATAATTTTAAAAAATAAATATTTAATTATATATAAATATATAAAAATATATAAAAACATATAAAAATATTTAATTGTATATAAATATATAAATATATTTGTATATAAATATATAAATATATTTGTATATAAATATATAATTATATTTGTATATAAATATAATTTATTTGTAAATTATTATCAAAAAATTCTGGTAGCTTAGTGGTTGGAGTATCGACCTCTAACTCTAAGGTACTGGGTTTGAATCCTGCCAATGATTCTCAATATTTAATAAATAATAAAAATATTATCGACGGATTTTTGTTATTACCGACGGATTTTGACCGCTTGTAATATCAAAATTTCTTGTAGTGTGTAAACCAAATTTTTTATTTACTCTTTATCATTTAATTCATAACAATACATAATAAATAATTTGTTTACTAATACTAAATTAAATTCTAATCAATTTAATTTACATTGAACCAAAATATTATTATTCTAAACAAAATTACTATTTTTTTTATCCCTTAGAAAGAACAAGACGTTTTGTTTTGTTTTTTTCAATAAATTTTAATCTTTGATATATTTGTTTTGAATACTCACACATTTCTCAGTGTTTAGAAGGTAAAGGGTAATTTATAAACTGTCACCTTTCTTAATCTACTAAACCACAATAAATTAGAGATTTAAAGTGAATAAGAGACAAATACATTATCATTTAACAAGAGATCAATACATTATTGTTCTTAAACTAAGATTGAAACTAACTATAATAAAAAATTCATAGGGAGAAAAATAAAAAATACTATAAATGACTATAAATCATGAAAAATATACAAAAAATTATAAAATTCTAGTTTTTATTTATTATAAAAATGTTATAAAACTCTCTTTCTTCACATATTATTTACACTATAGTGTATGTTTTTCTTCAATAAAAAAAATATTATTTTTATCTCATAAATAATTAATAAAATAATAGTTCAATAAATTAATAATTCATTTAATTAAAAGTTTGTTAAAAACAAAGTTTTATTATATAATGCAACAACAATTAAAATATAGTTAATTTATTTTTTAAATAATATCAATACACACGATATCATAAACACAAAACATAAAATTTATATTTGAATAAAATGATAAAAAATAATAAACTTGTACTTATAATTTTCATTTACAAGATCAACTAAATGATCAATCCAAGTGTTCATAAATGGTTTAAGTTGGAACATAAATTAATCCAAAAAGATTAAATATTAAAAATATTTTTATAATAAAAAAGATGGTGATATATGATTCAAGCGAAAATCAATACCAAATTATATTACAAATATTCACGAGTGATCAAAATTCTATAGTCTCACACATGTGATAAAATAAAAGAAAATACGAGTTGGAGTGGAAGTCACCGTTCTTAATTTTCTTATTAAAAAAAATCATATTAAAAACCTACTTGAGTGATCTTAATAATCTAGAATCGCCTAAAAATTTTTTCTAACATTCAACATCAAAATTAATAATTTGATCCTAAATAGTTATGATCTCACGATATTTTCTTTGAAGATATTCTATAGAGTAATTCTTTCTCCATCCCTAAATATAAGATATTGAATAAATAATATTTACTTGATAAAAAAAGAAGGCAATTAATTAGTTAATAACATGAAATTTATTTGTAATCGTGATATTTATAAACTAGCCTTGATAGTAACAACAATTTTCCATCCAAAACTAACCCAATCACCATGATTCAACACACATCTTCACCATCAACAAAAAAAAAAAGCCAATTTTGTACTAGACCCAATTACCTGAACACAACACCATAAAAAGAGATGCAAAATGCAGAAAGCAAAATGCTTGAAGCCACCCTCTTTTACCAATTTTGATCTTGCATTTCCAAAGGCTTTAAACAATCAAACTTTGTTTAGGCAAATCAAACCAGCCTTTTTTTTATATCTGTTTCATCAATGATCATTATACTATTTTTTGGTTTTTGTTAAAACATATTACATTCTTATCCTGGATTTTTTGTTTCTCTCCTGATAACTGCCAGAATCCTCGTTTGAGATCGAGTTAGAATGTTATGAATTAAAGAAAAGTAAGAACGATCCAAAGAAAAATTCTCAGACTATTATTTCGGAGAAGGAACATAGAAAATACACAAGTCGCATATCATATCAACAAGAAAAAGAAAAGAAAAGACGCATTAGCTTATGATGAGAAAAGAACTAAAATTCTCTGCCTCATTATTTTTAAGTAGTAGTATAGTAATGGTTGAAGAGTTTGAGAACTCTCACTACTTCAGTCAGCACAATGGCTGGCTCCGTAGTGTCAACTCCAACTATTGCAGCCAGCTGCTCCAATTTCTTCTTTGCTTTTGCATCATTCAGCAACTCATCCAAGCTCACTTCTTCTACGTCAGTAGCATCACCACCTTCCTCACTGCAAGAGTCTGAGCCTGACATCTGAAAAGAATGATGTTCCTTAGGAGCAGAAGGGACATCAAATGATGATGCCTTACTTGGTACATTGCACTGAAAGTTGTCGGAGTCTGTGGTGAGGGAGAGGTAGGGGGGAGTGTATTGGAGTTGTGGGTAAGAAAAGGTGTGAAGGGTGTTTGAGGATTTAGTGGTTTCCATTGAGGATGTGTGAGGATGAAGAATTTGGAAGAGAAGAGAGAAAGGTGTTGATATGAGAGGAGAGGAATTAGTGCAATCGTTTTGAAGTGCCATAATGACGAGCGTTATCAAGTCAGGTCAAATGAAGAAAACGTTGAAAGTAAAAGTAATAAGGCAATTATGACCATAATTCACTTGGACCCTGCTTATGGAAATTTGAGTAAAGCCTCATCCTTTATTTTGTTTTTCTTCCATTCCTCTTTTGTCACTGCTCTTCTACTATATTTGACTTTTCTGCTTTCACAAATATACTCCTCTCCTTTTTTACTAGCTTTAATTGCATTTCTTTTTCTCACTACTGGTTCACTTTTATAAAACTTATTTATTCTCAATTCATTCAACAATTTTATTAAACATGGGGGGCTGATTTGAAAATGAATTAAAATTATATAGTTAAAATAGTAAGAAAAAAACAAATTTAAAAGAAGAATAAAATTAAATGGGACATACTTATGATGTTGTATAATTTATGAGAATAGGCAGCATAAGTCATTCTGTCCCTTCTGTGCACGTGCAAGTTGTTCAGCTGAGCACTTCTGGGGCATGCAAATGCGCGCGCACACACAATGACTGGCTGTATATTTTATATATAACTCCCCGGTTTCTTTTTAAATTTCCTTTAAAATTCTTTTAGAAAAACTACTTATGAATTAAAATAAATATTTTATTATGAATCCATAAATTATTTAAAATTATAAAAAATAAATTAAAATTTATAATTAAATATTTATTTTTATTTTAAATAAATTTTACTAACAATTTTCTTTAAAAATATCCTAAATTTTATTTATTTTTATTCTTAAACAAATTTTAATAACAATATTCTTCCAAAATATCTTAGATAATTTTTATTAATTTTATAAAGTATTTATTTTTACCTTTAAATTATTATTATTATTATCAACTCTTTGAGATATTTCGAACTCTAAAAAGTATAAATTAATCTTACCAAAATAATTATAGTATTTCCTATTTCACTTTCTTTTTATTTCTACATTACAAAATATATATATATATATATATATATATATATATATATATATATATATATATACTGTAAATATTAAGGGAAAAAATACATGTATAAATGAAAAAAATTATTATGCTTTAATTTGTCAAAATCATAAAAATTAATCTAGAAATTTGTCAAAATCATAAGCATAAAATATAACATATTCTTACACAAGATATAACATATTAATATGTTCATTCTCTACATTCAAGCCTCCTCTATTCAAAATTTGTTTTACTACAGCTATTCTCACCAAGGATGCCCCATATACATCAAGTCCTCGTCGTGAACAGTACTGCATTGGATGCAAGATTGGTGTCTGTCTATAAGAACCAGCGTTGATCTTAAAATATATAACAGCCGCTTGTCAGTGGGGCAAAAGCAAAAATGACATTGAGTCTGCACCTGACTTCTACACAGGATCATTTGCGAAAAACCAAAATTGGTCTATTGAAACCAGTCTTGCTATTTGCCAAACCAGAAGTGACGTCTTCTACTGTTCGAAATCCTATCTGCGTTATTTAAACATCGGACATTAGAATCTGAATAAAATCAAGATAAATTGGCAATGCAACAGGAATGCTTGTTACCAATTCAACAAACTTTAAAACAGAAGGTAGTATTCCAAGAGAAATATTCCTCGCAAACCTTATCTAACAATATTTCCTGAAACTGTTCTGGACGAATGGTAATGTTACGGTAGTTAGCAGTAGTGGTCTGCAAAATGCAAAAAAGAGAAATAACTCAATAGCCCCTTTCTTATTTTTAGCATTATCTAAGCTAGGATTAAAGAAATTTAAGAGAATAAGTAAAATATCAGAAGAAAATTCATATTGCATTAGGTGTTCCATTAACATAAAAAGTAGAATTACAAAAGAAAAATACAATGATATACGTCCAAGCTAAGGACTTGTTAATTTTGAGAAAAACATTTTCCATTTTCAAAAATGATTACAGACCATGTGATTTTAAAAGATGAATAGGTCAAATATAACTATAGTATAAGCTTCGTAAGCTTGCCAAAGCATGTATGTAAAGGTTTATAGTTTATATTTCCCAATCCCCTTGAAATATTGAAGTGCTAATCACATAAATGTAGGCAAGCTTATATCACCTCCGAGACATTACGATTGCTTTCATATGACTTCCATGGTTGAGGTTCCACCACAAAAATGCCACCCTACACATAAAGAAGAACATATATTTACATACACAACAAAATATATTTACAGAAATTTAGGGTTAAGTGTGGGTACAGGGTGGTTTGATGGGTTCACCGGAGCTCATATGCATTATTAAATCAATAAAGTTCAGAAGATGAATCCAAGCTGGAACAGAAAGAAAAGTAAAAGGTCTATGGAATAGAGTGAGGAGATGGAATCTTGAGAAAGAGTGAAGACGAAAACATCCATGACAACCAAGATGAAGAGAAAGGCAGGAGATGGGAGTAGGTTTGCAGAAGTCATGTGCAGCCATATATCTAAATCTGATGTTCCTCTCACCGTAAACAACTTACTTGACTAGATAAGTGCCAATGTATCATGGCATTTGTCATTTTCTTTTGCAGCACTTTCATATTCAGTACCCAAAACTTTCAGTAGAAAGAAGAACAATAGGATGATGACAGGAGATAATACTTACAGGTCGGAGCAGTTTCCAAATCTCTGCAAATAAAGTAATTAAGCCGTCATCCCCCCAATTTAGATGTATCCACTTTGTTACACTCAAACTACAAGGGAAAAGATAATTTATAAAATAACATAAGCAACACATTAAAGACTCTTTAAAATAAACATATTCAAATAATATTATTATTGCAAAAGGGAAAGTCAAAACCAACTTGAGAATATCTTTCTTCCTACTATATCAAAGCAAACATATTAAAGAAATTTCGTGCTGAGGAGAGAAGGGTCAAAGAAGAGTAGAAAGAAGACAAAAAGAATGAGTTGAGAACATGAATTAGAGATATTGGCTCATTCCCTGTCTTTTTCACTATTTTTTAGATTTTTTTAGGTCTTCTTAGAGAGCTGGGGTGCATTACCCGACCCAGTTTGGTGTGTAACCCACCGGCCCCAGAATCACACAATTCATCACATGGTAATGTAGTGATACTTGCTATTCACCTGTGATTCTTGGTGCGATTCAAGCACCACACCACAGTGATTATTTCAACGATGCATATTGCCAGCTACTTGAATCAATTCAAATGCATTGTATCATCAATCAAAAGATACTGATAACAATTGTGCACTATCTAGTCTTGATGTTGGGCAATCCACACAGGTCCAACCATGCAAAAATCCACCCTTTAGTTATCGAGTTGTGGACGTGAGGGATTGTATTAAGATGTCTCATTAATTAGGAATGTAGCCAAACCACTCGTTCTGATGAAGACTTCAACAACCTTTCTCTCTCGAGCTAACTTTTTGGTTTGATAATATGCCCAAACTATTTTCAGTAGATGGCAGCTATTCGGAGGAAGTCAATCCAAAAAGCGACAAAAAAATCAAAACCAAACAAATCTGAATAGGACTTTTCCTTAGGGCATAAGGCATGGCAAATTTATACCTCCCTCAGTCCCTCCCCTTAACAGTTTTATCCCAAAAACTAGGTTTACAAAGAGATACAGGTGGCAAAAACAACAAACACAGTAACTTACCAAAGAATTGTATCATAGTTCTTTCCTGGTGGGTGTCGACTCTGAACAAAATTTTCTCGTTTAAATGAAACTATACTAAACAGATCAATTTGCTCTGAAGAAGAATGTTCCTTTGAAATCTTCTCTTTTGCTTCAACATTAGACAAGACAGTGACACTGCTCCCTGAATCATCAGCATGTTCCTTGTCCTGAAGTTTGGAGGCTTTCACAGGTTTATTCCCAGTAGATTTTAGTCTAACAGTTTTTCTGAGATTCCAATATGCATCCTCAACTCGATCTGGCACATAGAGCATAAAAAAATCAATTTTTCTTTTGTTACAACCCTATTGGGAAGTTAAAAAGTTGAGTAAGGATGTTATACTTAATACTACCTGTTGCTAAATTATGAATGTATTGACATAATTGTAAACAACTTCACTAACTAACCTCCTGATAAGTACCCAACACTGACACCAGAAACAAAATTCAGAGCATCCTTACACCCGGTTTTTTCCTTGAGATAGGTTAAATAAATTTTTGAAGTTAATTGTTTCATTCTATGTTGATTTTAAATCATAAAAGTTTTAGCTAATAAATTGTAATGCATATTAGCCACTTGTTCATGTTGCATACATAATACAACAAGGAGATTATAGCTTGAGTTCGTTTAAGTAACATAACTGTTAAGCCCAACTCAGTTCATAAATTTAGGCCCTAAGAAACTGCTTTCTGTTTCCATTGACTATTGTCACTAATAATTACAAAGAATGAAACATTATTTTTACTTTTCTTGGCAAAGTAACATCAGTTTTCAGTTCAAACATTACACATTAGAATATGTTATGTTTTATATAGCTTTAGGGTAAGAAAGAAACATATACAGAACAAAGCTGAATTTTAAACTTAAAAAATACGATTCAGCAATAGAAATTAAAATAGATAAGAATGTTACCAGAATCAATGTCAATTCCAAGAATGCTTCGGCAGCAAAACTTCCGCGCTGTGGGAGGAAAGCAAATAGACAAATATAGGTCACCAAGATTCAATGTTTATATATAGAATTGAAATTGTAATTGTTCAATTAAAATAATTTTTTTCTGTGACCCGGTACGTGTAACAACAGCATTGAGCATCAAAAGCAAATGATTATTTACTTCAGAGAAATAGTCAAGCGTATACCTATTGAATGATAGGCATAAATCATTGAAACAAAATTATTAAAGAAATGGGGAGAATATTACCAATCTGTATAGTGATTATCCCGTTGTTGCAGCCAATATCAAGACACTCCTTCCCTTCAAACCATTCCTTTTTCAACACTTTCAATCGAGGATCTTCATCCACACCTTGATCAATCTGAAACAACATCAAATTAGCAAAATATCAAACATAGGCAACGATAAACTGACTGAATAAAGAGCTAACGAATGAAAGTGAAGAAGAATACTCGATAGCCATAGTAACTCTTGTAGTTTCCGTATGGGAAAACTTGCTTCCGCTTTTTACTGTTCTCCTTTTGGGTTTCCATTGAATCTCCTCCTCTTCTCTCTCTGCTATTCCCCCGCCTGGAACAAAACCTTGTTTGATTTGGGGTTCAGAGGGTTATAATAATTTAATCAAAATTAAATATTAATATTTCTTTCTTAATGGTTTATTTTCATACAATCATGTAAGAGAGAGAAAAATTTAAACTAAAAATCATAATAAAAAATAATATTAAAATAAATATAATTTTAAAAAATAAATTAGATAAATACGTTAGTAGAATAAATAAATATATTAAATAAAAATAACTTTATATTAATTAAAATTAAAATTTGATAAAAATATATTTTTTTTATTAAAATTCTTTCTTGTGATAAAAATATTTATTTTTTATGATGTACAAAAATTACTTAAACTTTACAATAACTGAAAGAAAAAAGTAATTAACATTACCACCTTAATTAAGTAATATACTTCCTATTTAATATAAATAAGGTTATTATATATTGTTTTTATTTTTACTTAATAGTTGGCCTGCAAAAATTTTATTTTTTATCAACTATAATTTATTAGATATATTAGTTTTGATATTATAATTTTGAATTATAATAAAATAATTTATTTTCTAAGGTCACGAGCAAGGATTTTATTTTTCAAGACAAAAATAACAAAATATATTTTATACTTTCAGAAATAATAAACATAATATATTTAAATCATTTGTAATAAAGAAAAATAATAATTTATTCTTTTTCATCTTTACATAATTTAAAACAAGAATAAAATAGTTTTATTCATAATATATTAATATATTTTATCACTAATCAATTTTACATGTAAAATGCTAAATATATAACAATAAAATAAAAACCATGTAATAATTTTCCTCAAATAATATTTTATAAATAAAAAAAAATTCTTCATAACATATTAAAAGTTAAAAGCTTGTAAGTATTCTTTGCGAGAAAATATATTACTTAATTGAATAATATTTTTAAAAATAACCTTATTGTTTCAATTAATATTTTATATTTTTAGTGCTAAATTAATTATATTAATAATAAAAACTAAAAAACACTTATAAGAATATTGAAGATTTAAAAATAACAAAAAAACATTATAGAAACTAAAATTAGAAAGCACAATATATGTTTGAACCAATTATTTAATATGAACATCTTCGAAAATGATCATTCGAAGTGTTCTGTTTTTTCGAAAACTAATAGTAGTGGCGCAGCTAATTTTTGTTCCATTGTTTTTCTTTCATTTATTAATGAATACATAGAATACCACCAGCTAAATTAGTGAAACTTTTGCATTACATATAAAACTTTTACTCAAATGAATTATTAATTATTTATTATGTACTTTGCGAGAATAAGAAGATTTTGATGTTTTAATACACTGTACATGGATTAAATTATTATTAGGATTTTAACAATATTTTTTGTTCTGCCACGGATTTTTCCAATGGGCTTGGTATATATTAATCTCATTGTAATACTGTGTCAGATAGCTTTTTGGTACTCTGCCACTAGAGACTAATCTTATTCATGCAACTGTTGTTCAGTCGATAGCTTTTTGGAGAACTCTTACAATATCAATTATGGTAAAATAAATAATCATGAGATTAAACTGAATAATTTTATGAAACTGATCTAATTCAATTGGCAAAAACCCTAATCCAAAGAAAGTGGACATAAAAGACTTGTTTCTAAAGCTTGCTTCATTGTATTCAGAAAAAGACATCAGCTACAGCTTACAGGGGTCGGTGCTATTGTGTCATTATTACATTATCTACAAAATCGGATTTGAATATGATACACTCTGATGCAAAACATTTTCCTTCAAAGAATACCAATTGTGCCAGAGATTTTGATACCGATCTCACTAGATTGGTAAGGGAACTTAACCCAAATACTCTATTCCAACTCCTTTAGAAAATCAACATTATCTACAAAAACCTGCACATTTAGAGGTGGGAAAGATAGTTAGTCGCAAATGCTGATTAATACGAATGAATAAAAACGAAGACACTACATCTCCAAAGATACAAATAAAACCACGAACTGAGAAATAAACACATGGGCAAAAACACATGCTCCCACTATACAGTTGAAGCCTGTCTTGTCCAAAAATATCAATGTTCAATTTGTTCTTATGTGTTATTATGTATGATGGACTCCACATGCCAAAGCAGACAGAAATCAGATGTTCAATCCTTTGTAACGAATTGAATACAGAAATACAACGTAACAAAATGATAATGATCACTTGTAAACATTGGTGGCATTGCTCATAATATGTGAATTCTGATTAAGCTAGCACGCTATCACGACCGCAAAACAAAGTCCAATTAATGAATTCAATAAAGGAGGGCAGAAATGGAGTTTCATGATCAATTTCTATCAGTTCTAAGTATTACTACTTTGATAATGTCAATTTCTACATTAAAACAACAATTATTTTATGATAGCAATCTAACCCACCCCCTCACACGAGTCCTTTCGGACTTGAAATACGAACAGTGCACCACCGCACCCTAACTTGAGTTGAAATTTAATTTTTATAGAACCGGGTTGACAAGGATTGAATTTCAAAACAATATGGTAAAAAACTTTGATATCATCTCATGAATTAACTATCCCATCCTCAGTTTAGATTGCTAGTAAGCACATATGAATGATTTGTATTTAAGAGTGTCAAACATTTGAATCTTTTATGTCCAAGTAGTTCAAACTTTCATCATTGCCATTATTCTTCTAAATGAAGTTAAATTTCATTATAATGTAAAAGAGCCTATTGTGTGAAGGGTGAGGAGGCATGTTAGATATGTAACTTAATCTTTTTAAGAGAGTTTGTTTGTGCAGAGGTGTCAAAATAAGCACCCAATGAGTCAACCTGAAAAGTTCGACAAATAGGTCAGGGTACACAAAAAAATTTGTAACTTAAATTGAATCAAACCTATTTTGACTTGATCTATTTAGGTCATGACCTATATGGACTTAGGTCAAGCTAGTCCATAGGTTTATGGACCAACCGTTTCATAAAATAATAGTTATTTTTTAAATAAAAATAAAAATAATATTATTTTATTAAATATATCTATATATATATATATATATATATATATTATAAATTAATTTGTCCGGAATTTACGTATTCTAAAAGTAAATATTATAATAAATCTATAATAATCACTCATTCCAAAAATCTAATAATTGAGATTAATTATTATTTTAAATTAATAAATTACTAAAAATAAATAATGATAATAAAGAATAAATTTTTAATTCTTATTTTGAAATTAAATAGAAACATTATCATATAATTTATATATTAAATCATTATATCTTAAACTAATTTCATTAATAAAATTTAAAATTAAAAAAAAATTTATATATTTTTTTAATTAACTGATTTTGTATAAATATGTTAATATTTTAAAAAAAATCAATCAGACCAAAATTCACACGTTAGCCCGTTGGTCTATCATAAGATCAGCCTAGACTAAAATTTTTGGTTAGTTTTAAAATATAAAATATAAGTTAGGGTGAGTCATCAAATTTTTTTTACTTGACCCATAAGATGAGAGGTTAAGTTGGACTGGATCGCTCGTTTTGACAGCTGTCTTTCTGATATTTATTACGGCATTTGTGAGCAAATCAGTCAAAGCTTCAACCTTGTCTTTTTATGCATAGGCTTTTTTATCCAAGTCTCAAGTCTAACAAGCCGTTGCATGTAAGGATGTATAAGACATAAAACCATTCATGAGTTTTCATTTTCCAGCTTAAGCCTTGGGAGACATTAAATGATAAAGATCAATTAGACATACCGACTTCCAACCGTCAGGATCCAAGCATGCAGTAATTTTGGTGTTGATACCAGGTAATGGTCCAGGTTCCCGAGTAATCTTTCCTCCAGATAGTTTAATCGCTTCTGCAGTTTTGTACACATCATCTGTGCCAATTGCAATCTGCAAATGGGTATAACAGTTACGGTTTTGATAGAAAATGAGAGAAAAGTTTAGAGCGAAAACAAAGTAAAGCATGCCACTTTTTAGGTATATTTGAATATAGTATTTCTCAAAAAAATACAAGCGATGGAGCTTATATATATATATATATATATATATATATACTCTGAATACTACAACATAAGTCATTGTTCAACTGATTCCTAAGTTCTGACTAATTTACAGATTTTATCTGCGGTGAGAGCTAAAAGTTTTCATAAATAAAAAACATTCTTTTAATGTGGGTGCCATATACAGAAATGCTTAAAATAAGTGAAAGTTGCTTATATAAATAATTTTCACTTGTTTTAAATAATTTTGTACCTGAGACCCACATTAAATAATATTTTTTCATTCATAAAAACTCTTCTCAGTAACTTTCATTGGATACACTCTAACAGAATCAGATAGGTGTACAGCTGCACTGGCTAACCGCAATATTCCATAATCTAAAGGTATACACTGAGGGGAGAGGGGGGAAGTAATAACATTAACAAAAGAACAGTCTTTAAGTTAGAGGCATGAAACAAGTCACTATGAATCTACAATTGGTCAAGTGGAGACAGCTTGAGTGCTAGGGTGGTTAGTATGAGATCATTCGTGTTGAACTGAAAAAATAGAGGTATGAAGTTAACTGTGGCTACGAAAACACAAGGTAACAATAATTTCAATCGGAAAAAAGAAGCAGCTGTTTCTGTTAATACAAAAAATAAAATCTGATAGCATAAATGCAGCAATGAAAACCTCTTCACCAGATTCTATAAAAAGAAGAATTCGGGAAGGGAGAAACTTCTTCTGCTTACCTGAGCATAAGCATTTCCTTTGTCGTATTCAGTGACTCCATAATTGTAAGTCAACTCCAGAACAGTGCTTTTATCTTCTGGACCATAACCCAGCATTGCTATGGTATACTGCCCAAAAGAAGGCCATCAAAGAAACACAGGTGAAGTGAAGGTAAGCACATGCCCAAAGTATCAAATAAGGTGTTGGGAAACAATTTTTAGGCCAATATATCAAGCAAGATCAAAACCTAAAGTTTATAAAGGTATCCATCAAACAAATATTTCAAAACAAGCATAAATCAGAAAAAATATATGATCAGAAGGCAGTTGCATTTGCAGAAGATCAAGAATTATCCATGAGCAAACAAATTAAAAGGACTTCGACAGGTATACATTTTCATAATTATATTGCACAGCACAAAATTCTCTATGTAAAACACTTATTCTCTTAGTTATTTGGTGAACTTATGCCTGCGGCTTTGTACACAATCCTGATCTGAAAGGAAAATCTTGCAGATCATCTAGTATAAGTTGCAAAAAATTCACAAACTCATAAGCCGTCTTAACTGTTAAGGCATATTAATTTGCATATATTTCAAAGAAAAAAAAAATAAAAGCATAAAGGGGAAGTCATGTACCTTGTATTCCGGATTATCTCGAGTACGAAGCAGCTCCATACCAAATGCCTAATGGTAAACAAACACATAAATGTATTAATGTTATGTAAAGGAAATAATAAAACTTTAAAGTCTGAACCAACATAAAATAGAATTGATTCTAACCTTCTCATAAAATTCTATGGAACGATTAAGATCACCCACTCGAAGCATTACTTGGCATAAGGGTTCAGGAGTGGGACCTCTTTCTATAAGTTCAAATTTGTAACCATCGGGATCTTCAATAAATGCAATTACTGAGCGCCCTCCCTTGACAGGACCAGGCTCTCTAGTTATTTTACCACCCTTAGCTCTTATTAACTCCACTGCTTTTGCAACCTAATAAAGAATCATACAAACAGGAATTCCAGCATGTATGTTAGTCACCAGGAACCAGCACAGTATGAGCATTACAAAGATGTTTAAAAGGACAGTGGAGGGCGTGCTAAAGTTTGGAAACTTACATCATCAACGGCAATACCAAAATGGCCAAATCCAGTTCCAATGTCATACTTGTCAACTCCATAATCTGAAATGTTAAACAAAAAAAAGAATTTAATTGAAAACTCTCTTTGCATAAGCAGGTATAACTTACTCCAATGAAGAACCAAAGTTGTATAATTATTACTAAAGATCATTAAGTAGATTAGATTTTGAACATTTCAAGAAAATTGTCGTTATCAACATAGTCAGACCCTTACTGTATGTCAGTTCAATAACAAAGTGTGAGTCTTCAGGCCCATATCCAAGAAAGGCATTAGTATATTTCTCCTCCGGTATGTCCCTCTTTCTGAGGAGCTTCATTCCTAAGCACTCTGTATAAAACCTAAACCACCAAGAGTAAACGGTCATCCATAAAGTTTAATATATCACAGATATACAGCTTTCAATCAATTAAGCATAAGTTCTCTCATTTAGCTTCTCCTAAACTTACCTTAAACTCGTGTCTATGTTAATTTTAATTAAAGGAAGAACCTTAATTCATTTTTATATTCTCCTACAACTGTATAACTACTAATTAATTTTTTTATCCAAACAAGACCTAATTGGGACATAATATAGTGCATACTTTATGGTCCTGTCCAAGTCTCCAACGCGATACACAACGTGAAGCATTCTTCGCTTGTCCTGCTTGACCCACTCAAGCACATTTTCTTGTGAAGCAGCTGCGACAGATTGAGACACATCCCCTGACGCCGAGACTCTCACGGAGTTACCATCGTGTCTCAACACCCTGGAAGCTTTTAAGCCAAAACTATGGGACTGAGACACTGCACCCAAATCCAAAAATCAATTTCAAACTATTCAATCAACACAACTGGCAATTCAGCAGCACCAATATATATATTCGTAATTGGGATTGAAGAAATGTCAGAATTACTCATAAATTGAACGCAAAGAAGAATATGAACTTACCAGAGAAAGAGAGACGGGGAGAAGGGTTGAAGAGAGAAAGAGAGGAAGGTGATGAAAAGGTAAGGGAGGAGAGAGCGGGTCGAATCGAAGAACCCATGGGAACCACTCTCACCATTGTGTTGTGTGGTGTGGATGAGAAGGGGAGAACAATAAAAAACTTCGCTCCATTTGACTTTACATTATTCCATTTCACTGGAATTTTTCATTGTTGATTCCTCTTTTACGGCTCTTCTTTTATTCCTTTTCCCTGTCATTTTGGAGTTCGATGGAACGTTTCAAACAAAAAATTATTGTAATTAATTTTTAAAGAATAATATTTGCAAAGTTAATTTGAAAATGTTAGAATAAACACAAAGAAAAATATATATTAAATTATTTATCTAATTTTTATATTTATATATTTTATCAAAATAATAATTATATATGTATTAAAATTATAAAATAAATATTTATTTATTGAGATGAGAATAAATTTATAAAATAATATTTTTTATTTTTTTCTTCTTAGAATAATATAATTTTTTATTACTAAATAGAAAATATATATTTTATTTATTTTTATTCTATTTGGCATTTTCTCAATAAACCGTCAATTTATTATTATTTTGAACATCAGATGGGATTGACTTCAACCTATTTAACAGTTTAGAACTATTATTTTTAAGTAACCAAATTTTAATTAAATTAAAAAATAAAATAAAAAATAGTTTAAAATTAAAATTATTGTTTTAATTTAATTTTTATAAAAATATAATATATTTTAATTATTTTTCTTATTTTATATTAATTTAAAATAATTATTATTTTATTATATTTTAATAATTATCCATCTTAAACTTCTTATTACATTTTATATTTATAAAATGGTGACTATAATATTAATTTTTATAATTTTTAATAAATTTATTATATATTTATTTTATTATAAAAATATTAATTTATTAAATTTAGAGTTGATTAAATCTTTAAATTTAAAATATTTATTATTTGAATGACCAGTTGAATTTTAAAAATAATGAAAAAATATATTATATAATTTCAAATTATATTAGTTAAGTATCATTTTCTTAGAAATTATTACAAATTATTTTTTTCTTACTTTTCCTAAATAGGCCCTTCTTGTTACTTTAATAAGGTATGTAACATTTTTTAAATTTAAACTGAAACAAATGCTTAGGAGAATTATTTTCACCCACAGTAACTCTACCTTCAATCCTCATCGTCCATAATCTCTCCATAGATGCACCATAAATAGATGACAAAGATCACTGCATTGAGAATATGAAGTGAAAGATGAATAGCCAATAAAGTTGACATAGATCCCTCGTCCTACCTGAACCGTAAAAACAAAATATTTTCCATATTTTTGAAAACTAAAAAATAAATCATTACTTTAATGGGTATTCATAAATTAATCGTTAAAAGATGGAAAATAATACCTAAACCAAACAACAAGAGACATGTTAAGTATGAAATAGTTTTTCTCCTGATAAGGTGCTTCCACGAGTAATCATCACATAAACTGTAACATTTGTCATATAAAGAGGCACGTCAAAAAATGGTACCAACAGCGATCAATTTTGTTATCACCATTAAATTGTTATAATCAGTCCAGGATCTTATTGGGAGTTCAACGGGTCTGAGTTTCTAATTCTTATATAATTTATTATTTTGATTTTTTAAAATTTAATGAGTATTTAATATATATTTATTTATTTATAATTTTATCTTCTCGATTTATCTTTAATTTTGTAACTTTCATATAAATTATGATTTTGTTCCTCTCAAATTTAATATTTATTTAATATATTTAAATATATATCTACAATTTTATTCTTTCATATTTTCTTTTTTTTTCTTTCTTTTATATTTATTTATTATTTATTAATAATATATTATTTGGTCCTCAAGATAAAGGTTAAAAGACATGGTAACGGGTGGGACGGGGCGGGTTTTGCCTCCCGATCCCCGCCCCGATTTTTTAATTATCACCGTCCCGCCCTGGATCCTCACGGGATTAGAAATTAAATTCTCATCCCCGTCCCCGCTGGGTTTCGGGTTCCCGCCTCCGCCCCATCCCCGATTTATATTATTTTTAAAAAGATAATTACATTTATAATAAATTAATTTTATTATCTATTTTTTATATATAAATAAATATTTATAATTTTATAATTTATAATAATTATTAATTAAATATACATTCTAATTTATTATATTTATATTAAAAGTTGTATGTAAAAGAAATATTTAATCATTTTTTATTTATAACATTATTATTATAATATTGTATTCAAATATTTGAATACTTCTAACATTATTATTATAATATTGTATTCAAACATTTGATTATATATATAAGTTAATTCATTTTTAAGTTGTCATTTAAAAATATGAAATATATAATTTATAAGAAAATATTTAATAAGTTAATTATTATTCAATTAGTTCAAAGTAATAAAAGTTTAAATTGTCAATTCCTTTAATCCTTTAAAATACAATTATTTTATTAAGATAAAATTTGATATATGATAAATAAGAATAATAAGATAAAAAAATGACATAATAAAACCTAATAAATATAAATTATAAATAAAATAATATTATTTACTATTAAGATTTATGTAAAATATTTAGAAAAAGATAAAGAATAAAAAAATTAACTTTGTGTTCATCAAATTGATTGAAAAGATTGAAAAAAAAACAAATTGATGGGAGAGATTAAGAAAATGTGAAAAACTGAAAGGTAAAAGAGAGAATAATGTAATAAATTAATTGATATAAAAGATTAAAAAAGACAAAAAAAATTAAAAAATAGGTATAAGAAAAATAAAAATGGGTGAAATATAAAAAAATGACGTTATATGTAATAGAAAAAGAAAAGAAAATATTTTAAAAATATTAATATTTTAAAATTTAAATTTAAATATAAAGTCGGGACGGAGACGGAGTCGGGGTTGGGGTGGGGATTGCATTATCCATCCATGTCCCCGCCCCGACTTTTTAAAGCGGGAAAAACCCGAACCCGCCCCTGCCCCCGGTCAACTCGGGTTTTCTCCATCAAACTCGAAGCGGAAACGGGTCGATCCCCACGAGAACGGGTTTAATTTTCATCCCTAGTTAATATACGCCGCTCGGTATATTAAATACATGTTTATATATTTAAGAGGATAAGGTACTATCTAATATGAGAATATGTGTTACCCGTTAAAAGATTATATTTAATAAATAGCACTTGTTGTGGTTTATTAGGTAATTTGGATTGAAAAAATAAAATGGTTAACTTGAACTTCAATTTAGAAATGTGGCAATTGGACTTGTGAAAATTTCACCCCAACTACACCATTAAATAGAATGTGCAGCGGAACATTTCAAGTTTTTTTATGGGGGAATTTCTTTTTAGTGTGATTTCCTATGAGTTTTGGTTTCTAATTATGTCATAAAAATTCTTAATTCTAGATATAGGGATTAAAATTGAGACTACATGATTTCTTCTATCTTCTGTCCCAAATAATATTAAAAAAATCATTAATTGTGAAAATAGATCTTATTCACATTAGTTAAGTAGACAGATTTATTATATAATATCAGAATTCAATTTTAAGAAATCAAATTTTGAAAGAGAAGACACCACGCTAGAGCCATAGAAGCATATTTAGAATTTTGAACTGCGTGTTCCTTTTGTCCAATAACTTATATTTATGACTTTTAAAAATAATATATATATATATATATATATATATATATATATATATTTTATACGTATATATATATAATATAAGTAAATATTATTATATTTATACATACTTAAATATGATAATAATATAATCATTATATATTAATATATTTTAAATATTTATATGGTTATATATATATATATATATATTACATATTTCTATATTTATTTATATATATATATAGTTAAAAATTAATATATGAATATATTTATATAATTAAATATTTTTATATATTTAGATAATTAAATATTTATATGCTTATATTTATATATATATATATATATATTTACATATTTATATATTGATATAATTAAAAATTATTATATTTATATATATTTATATATTTTAAATATTTCAATGTTTGTATATAATATATATATATATAGTTAAATATTAATATATGAATATATTTATATAATTATATAATTAAATATTTTTATATGTTTAGATAACTAAATATTTATATATGTAAATATATTTTAAAATAACAACATATATTAATAAATACATATACTTGTATATTTAATAAATACATATTTATATTTTTTTTATAGCTACATATATTAATATGTAATTATATAAATATATACTCATCAAATTATATATATATATATATATATATATATATATTTATTTATAAATATACTAATATTTATATGTCAAATATAATTATATATGTAAATATATATATATATATATGTCAAATATAATTATATCAATATATATAAATATATAATTTTTAAATAAATGTAATATTTATAAATATATTTACATATATAAATATTTAATTATCTAAACATATAAAAATATTTAATTATATAAATATATAAATATATTCATATATTCATATATTAATTTTTAACTATATATATATATATATATATATTTAAATATAAGCATATAAATATTTAAAATATATTAATATATAATAATTAAATTATTATCATATATATATAAATATAATAATATTTATTTATATTATATATATATAAATATACATATAAATAATATATATATATATATATATATATATATATATATATTAAAAGTCATAAATATAAACCTGCTGGAAAAATTAAAAACACAATTCAAATTTCTGACTGTTTTTATGATTTCAGACACATTCTCATTTGAAATTTAATTTTCCGATTTCTGACCTAAACCAATTAACATATTTGAGGAACTAAAATGGGTGAGGTCTATTTTCATAATTAATGATTTTTTTAATATTATTTAAGACAAAAAGTCGATTTTCTTCCCGACATTTTTTTATTGTGAACTATTCAATTACTCATAGGAGGGTGTTGATGGAAATAGGATAAAAAAAATAAAAAACAATAATTGAAGAGTGGAGAAAAGGAGAAGACACAAATAAAAA